CTGGAGGACGGGGTGGGTTTTTACTCTGAAGAGCCGTGATGGCTTTGACTGGACCAGACATAGTCATTGCTGAACTGAGACTCTTTGGTGACTAGAGTTAATTAGAAAACTTTTAATTTCCTGAGAGATATTAGAAAGTCATGGGGCCTGCCAGAGCTTTTATATGTCTAGATCTAGATCTATAATCTATCTCCATCTATCTGTAGGGTCAGTGGGGGACAAAAAATACTTTCTAATTGCACCCTGTGGGCACAGCTTGTTCAATGTACCTGTTACAGAGTTCCCAAATCTTTCCCCTTCTCTTCTCCATCAACTCTGCCTGTGTTTCTTTCATCACCTGTTGCTTCGGGCACAGCCCCAATTACCCTCCAGTATTTTGGACACACGTGTCCTCTCTCTGTCATCCAGGTTCTCCCCTGTATGTCTACATCTGCCAGGAAGGCTGTCCCCCCCCAACCCCTCCTCCTGCCTGTGTGCCTTTTATCCTCTAGGTCTGAGACTTAATTTCTCTTTTTCTGGGAAACCTTTCTTCCCTCTCCTCCCTTCCACTCCTGCAGGGTTACCTGACTCCCATATGCTTCTCTGACCAGCAGAATTCCCCTCTGCCCTAGCACTGACTCTCTGATGCTGCTGTCTCTACTTTTCTCCCTCCTTCCAAACTATCTCCTCCTTAAAGACAGGGCCCATGCCTTATCCATCTATTTCTAGTATTTAATGAGTTGTGTTCAATGGGCAAGTAAATAAATGATATCTCCACCGTCTGATGCCTATTTCAGAGAACCCGGTGCAAGACACATAGTAGGCTGTACACTCAGACCAAGCCAGTTAGCTGAATTCTAAATTTCTACGTCTTTTCTGGGCCACACCAGCCATTTTCTTCTCCCACAGCCAGCGTTTTCTGATTTCAATATGCCCACAACTATAAGTCTATGTGGAAACCAGTTTGCTCAGGACCCAAGGTCTCATCCATTATGTCGAAGAGCTACTTCCTGGAGCAAAGGCCAGAGAAGCTCTGGGTTATTTTATGATTCCAGTTTAGCCTTTCTCTCTCTCTCTCTCTTATTTTTCTTCTTCTTCTTCTTTTTTTTTAATCATTTGAACAGAGCATATTTATGACTTGGCAGGCCAGTAAATTATAAATAGGGTTTGCTAAAGAATGGTCCAAAATTCTCCAGAATTTATCATTTCACAATGACAACAAAAACAACAAACCACAGGAAGGAAAGGAGAGGGATGTTTAATGGCACTGAGTGTGTACCCAGTGATTTATCTGCATTCTTCCATGTAATGCTCAAAGCAACCCTGTGAACCAAATAATCGTTATCCTTACTTTACAGATGAAGAAACTGAGGTTCAGAGTGGTTAATTAACTGGGTTAAGGCCCTTAGCTAGAACGATGCAAAGCAGAACTGACACGCAGGACTCCTATATCAGACAAATGGACGGAGACCGTCATCAGCCAGGGCAGAAGCCTCTGAAGATGTCCCCCTTTTAGATTCTGTTAAAAGCCATGCATTTTCCTTCTAAAAAATGAACTATGCATCTTTACTGACAGTTTTGCATAAACTGTGGACAGTTCATAGGCTCTTCTTGAAGTCCATGCAGAAGCCCCTGAGTTAAGACTCCCTTAACTAAAAGAATGAAAGCAGCTCTGGGCTTTGCCTGACTGGCTGTCCAGAACACCTTTGTATTGGTTTTCCCTATTAGACTGAACGCTTATGCTCAAGGAATCACCCCATCTTTAGACTCGCCAAACAACAGAATTGTGGATTCTTGATTTCATAAATTCATCTAAGCATGGGATTATAAAATTTCAGATTTCAGAATCAGAAAAAAATCTTAGAATATCCGAACCAGATGGGACCACAGTAGACATCCAGTCCACCCGTGATACCACGGCTCTGACAGGTAGAAGTCTCAGACACGGAAGCTAGAGAAGGCAGGCTCCCCAGTAATGGTGGTGGAATTAGCGTTCAAACCCCAGAGGCAGATCATCAGGTTAAAGACTCACCCAATAAAAGGAAAGCTATGCAGTCTGCACCGGGGTGAGAAAAGTGGGGGCAGAAGGAACATCTGTTGAGTACCTATCACGTGCCAGGCATCATTTCACTCTGGCAAGAACCCTGCAGAGTATTATCACTACTTTCAGCCTTACGAATGGGGAAATAGGCTCAGAGTGGTGAGATAAGCAGCCCAAGGTCACACAGCAGGGGAAGCATCAATGACTGTGTCAGCTGCTGCATTTCCCCGATGGAGCGGAGAAGGAAAGTCGAACAAGCCCCAATAACATTAGCGGTTCCAGGGAGAACAATTAAGCTGACAGATACATATGTTCTAGTGGGTGGAGAGGCGGATGTTACTGTGGGCTGGGGTGTAACATCCCTCAGGATTCCCTCCTCCCTAATCCCTTCCCTGGCCTTACTCTCACCCAGCATGCCCTGGATAACTAATGTGTTCTCCACATGCCCTGAGGGGAGAAGGGCCGCTCTGGGGGGCAGACGTGCAAACCCTGCCATGGGAACCCTAAGCCCCCATTCTGTGAGCCACTTGGTGTTGGAAGGCCAAGGCTCCCAGTTGTGGTGACTCTATGAGACCCTTTGTCCCATGAACCCCGCCAACATGGCCACGGCCCTTGTTCTAACAGCCCCTTCTTCACACGAATGCAGGTCCTCATTCAGAGTTGCCTACGCCTTTTGGATGTTTTAACTGACAGTCACTGAATACTGAAAGCTGACAGTGCAGATTCACACACATTACTTCATTTTAACTCCCTGTAGCTCAGTGAGGTTTAGTTCTATGTCCTCCCGTTACAGAGGAGGACACTGAGGCCCAGTCAGATGACAAAAGTTGCCCAAGGTGACACATCTGGCAAGTGGCTAGGATTCAAACCCAGATTTGTTTCCATGGAAAACCTGCTCTTTGCTCAATGCCCCATTTTTTGTGACGGTCTCTATTTAATTTCCATAGCAGGGATTAGGAGAGCGATGGCTCATGGTCCCTCTGTGAAGGGGACGGGCTCACCTTGGGGAGGTCACAAGACTTGCTGAGGGGCAGTTCAGGTCTCTCGAGTCCCGGTCTGAAGGACTTCCTCCCAGACCATACTGTCATTCCCGCCTCCCTGAGTAGACCGAAAGCTCTGGGAGTCAGGGACCTTGGCTTGTTGTTGAGTATTTTACCCCGGGTGCCTAGTAGAATTCCTGGCACGTACTGACAGTGTGTTTATTTTGATGAATGAGGACTGGGTGTTGAGGGGGAAATCTGGGCCTGGGCCAAGGGAGGGGCAGTCTACAAAGCAATGCATTTACTTCCAACACAAAAGCACGTGAGGTGCTGGCATCAGAAATCAACCACAGACTCAGTGCAGGTCTCCTTGGGTGGGACCTACCGCTCACTACGAATAAATCTGTGGGATCCCTTCTGGCACGCATGCTCAGAAAGGCAGCATTGGGGAGAGCAAAGCAGGAGCAGCGTGGACTGCCACCTCTCTGTGTATTATAGGAGTTAGCAGATCCTGGAGAAGTCATGGCTACACATCAAGTGTGGGGGTGGGGGAGGGGCAGGGAGGAACAGCAAGGCACATACAAGTGGCCAGGGTCCTCTACCCCAGAACAGAGCCTCCTCCCTTGGCCTTGAGACATTAAAGCAGATTTTAAGATGACTGTCTCAGGCTTGGCAACTGGAAGGAGGGGGACTTTCAGCTCTTATCATGATCTTTCCAGTGTTTTGCCGGATTTGGAGCACCATTCTAACACCTGACCTATCCTTGGCTCACCCTTCCGTCCGACACCATCGCCCTGCCTCCCATGTACTCAGCAAGGTAACTGGATCCCCCAGAGCCACCAGGCTGCCGCTGACTGGATGGACTAGTCTGGAGTCATGCCCCAACCAGAAAGGAGCTTTTCCTGCACAGAGTATGACAGGAACTCTGGAAACTCTGGAAACACTCACCCAAGGTTGAAAAAGGCTAAAAGGAGCACTTCCACTTTGGGGAGAGGAATTTATATATATATATATATATATATATATATACAGAGTTAATATTATCCCTTTCCTTTCTCCTCTGTTAACTAGAATCCTTTCTCTAAGAAAACTCAGTGTTAGGAAAGGAGAAATGGGTCAGTCCAAAAACAAAAAGATAAAGGAACACAAAAACTGTCTCAATCTGTCACAATCCTTATGCAGTGACCTTGATAAAATCAACACCCAGGAAACTAGAATGACTAAAGTAGTCCCTAGAAAGTCAAGCAAGCTGGAAATAACCTGCAATTTCATTATAACAAGCATAGGGGCTTTTGGAAAATGTTGTCATGAAGTCAAGAGGAAAAACAATTTGGTGAAGGAAATGCCAAATCAGAAAAAAAGATGTGCAAAGGATGGGAAGGAAGGCAGGGCAGACAGAGGCATGGGAAGAGAAGGAGAGGAGAGGAGGATGGAGAGAAGAAAGAAGACGAGGGAGGGAACATAGTAAGGAGAAAAAAAAAAACACAGAAACTAGAGCTAGAAGGAGAGAGGACAAGGAGAGAAAAATGGTACAATGAAAACTGGTGAGCAGAGAGAAGAGAAAGAGGGCAAGAGTGTAAAAAGATTGGAGGTGAAAAGAGAAAATATAGTTTTACATGTTCGAGGTTAGAAGGAGGAGTCAAGACCACTCAGGTCTTCCTCAGCAGCCCAAGGGACGGTCCTCCAGACTGTGTGCTCACATATCTTAGATGGCAGAAGACTCACTCTGTCATGAGGGCATGGAGGGGAGACAGAGATGAGAGCAGCATAAGGCCATAGCAGAGGCTGGTGGGAAGGGGGGGTGTCCATTAGCAGGGCAAGGGCCAAACAGGACAATCCAAAGATGCCATCAGCAGAACAGCCTCCATCCTCACCCCAAAGTGTCAGCCCTCACTGAGCTGGAGACCAGATTCCTGATCTGCCCATTAAATCTCACCAGACCTGGATACTCTCTGCTAGATGCGGGCTGGCTCCGGGCTGGGGGAGCTTGCCAAGGATACAGGCTTCCTCCGTGTAGGGCACAGCGGCCGTGGTGCCTCCAATGATGTAGCTATAGAAGGAGACCTCGAGGGTGTAGCAATAGGAAGTGTGGTCCAGAAGCCCCCCGAGGAAGCGACGTCCGGTTCCTGCTTTCACTGCATCCCGGTTAAAGGATGTGCTGGACTGGGAAAGACAAAGCAGGGGAGAGAGAATCAGGACTGGGCCCCTGCTGGCTATTGGCATTTGAGCAAGTCTTACAACACATCTGGGTCTCAGCTTCCTCCTCTGGAAAGTGGGATGTTAATCACACATCACAGGGTTATTATGGGGACTGATGAAATAAACAAACAGAACTAACAGAAGGCATCCAACTTTGGATAGTGACTGCCATTGAACAAATATTTGTGGGAATCTGAATGGGGATGGATGAAGCAAAGGAGAGCAGACAGAGAGCAAGAAGCATTGACACTGTGATGATAATCCAAGTTAAAATTTGGGCAGTGCTTTCAACTTTATAATGTTGTTTTCCACACGGCATCTCCTTTATGCTTCAGACTAACCCCTTGATGGAGGTGTTGCCGCTTTGCCCCTCTGGGTGAGACAACGAGGCTCACAGAGATGGAGGATGCAAGGGACACAGCACCGAGGACCGAGTGACTCCAGACATCCCAACCCTCCTTCTCAATGCTCCCCCGTTACGAGGGGCAGCTGAACTCCCACCCAACGTCACCAGGCGGTAGGGATCATGGCTGTTCCTCCGCTCGGGTATTGGCCTCACCCATCCCGGTAGACAGAGAGAGGACAGGAATAAGCAGGTTGACATCTCAAGGCCTCCGTTCAAAAATGTGCGAGATGGGAGCACCCAGGTGGCTCAGTCGTTGAGCATCTGCCTTCAGCTCAGATCATGATCCCAGAGTCCTGGGATCAAGTCCCACATTGGGCTCCCTGCTCAGCGGGGAGCCTGCTTCTCCCTCTGACCCTCACTCTACTTGTGCTCTCACTCAAATAAATAAATAAATAAATAAATAAATAAGATCTTTTAAAAATGTGGGAGATGTTAGGCAACTTGCCTTGTTTGGCTTAGCCTGTTTCTTCATCTATAAAATGGAGGTGATAATAATATTTCTTTCACGGAATTGTGAGGGTGACTCATCTGTGGTTAAAGGGGGCATTCTGTGGTCACCCATGGAGCTCTAAGTAAATAAAGAGACTGTGGTTTTAATAAGAGAATGTGTGTCTTGTGAAGCAGGGTGTAAGAGAAGAAGGAAAAGAGGGAGAAAGAAAATAGCAAAACAAGGCAGGATTTAGAGACAAGTTTAAACAAAGAGAAGCGTGTGTGTGTGTGTGTGTGTGTGTGTGTGTGTGTGTGTGAATTCTGAGGTAAAGAAAGGGGTCAGAAAATTAGAATGTCACATCTGAAAAGACCCTTGAGGTCCATGCAGTGAAATCATTTTAGAGTCAGGTACCAAGGATCAGAGAAGAAGGGAGACAGAGACTGGATGAGAACAGATGACCTTGACCCTGGCCTTGAGCTCTTAAGTTGGCTGCAGTACAGGAACATCATCAGGCAAGGCCAGAAACAAAGCTCCTAGACTGTGCCCCTTTTGTTTGCATGGGAACCTCACCCCTGTGAGGGTCTCTGAGGCCTCCCAGAGAATATGACCCAGGAGACCACGGTCTGAAATTCAGTAGTTTCAAAAAGCCTGGGACTGGCCATCCTGTAGATTCCTGCAGAAACAGGCATGGCTCTTTCTACCCCAGAGATGCAAATTGCTTTGATTCTGCCACCAAATGCTGAGTCACTTCGCTGCACATACTGAACTTCTCTGGGCCATAGGTGTCTCTTGAATACAAAGAGGAGACTGAGCCAGTTCCTTTCCTGGCCTGGCATTCAAAACTTCTGGGATTCAAAGTGTAGATTTCTTCATGGAGAAATTCATCACCTCCACTAATGTCCAGGCCTGGAGCAATGGGCAGGGAAGTTTTTAGCTCATCACCTTCAAAAATTGCTATGACCTTTGTAGGACTCTCCCCCTCTGGCCACATGGAAATAACAGGCCTTGGACTTTCAGTATCAAAACAAAGGAAAATGTACAACAACTCTCTCCCATGTCCCCACACCCCATGCTGATTCTTTTCCTTATCTTCTCTCCTTGCCCTTTTCCAGTACTGCTTTTTGCTGCAAATTATTCTCGCTGCTGAGTCTTCCTCCGCGCGTGTGAGGTGGGGAGTAACAACCAGTCTCTGGGGTCTGCTGAGGTCTTCACTGTCTGTTACTGCCTGTGCCCTCCCAGGAAGCTATGATGTGGGCAGGGCAGAACATGACCGCCCACAAATTACTGAGGAAGAAATCAAGACCCACAAACAGTCATGGACGGAGGGAGAGAGAACATGGCGGGCACATGACCCCCTTCAGCAGGGGGCGAGGCTCCTACTAAAAGAGCCCGATGAGGAGAAAGTAGACCCCAGACCCCCCGGGGCAGGAGCCAGGGTGTGGTGGGTTCTTGGTGAGTCCCTTATCTTGTGAAAGCCGGGGTCACCTCAACTGAACAAATCCCGGCTCCTCAAAAAGACCAGATGCTGCCTTTTCCAAGACTCTCCCCACTGACTGGTGAGGCGCTGCTTGTTCACCTCTGTCTTTATCACCCACACAGGGCCTGGCACAGAGCTGGCGTCCTGAGAACAGTAAACCCCACTGAGCTGAGTGAAGAGGAAGGGGAGGGAGCTGGGTGGGGGCTGCTGAGAGAGAACTCTTGACCTACGTAGGAGAAGTCCTCGGCATTCTGGCAGAGGAGCTTGGGGAAAATGGCCTGCCTCTGGAACCGTTCCTCATCCTCAAAGATGTTGCCGTACATGAAGCCATTCATCATGGTGGAGTGGGCGTGGATGTCAATATAAAACTCCAGGCTTGTTTTCTGTTGAAAGAAAGGATGACAAATGAGAAGTCTGGGGTCACAGAGCTCGCCTTAAAGGACCAGACGCTAAACACAGCGTGCAACACACACACACTTCCTCCCGAGCTACGCCTGTGGGTCAGACTTAGCACGCCTCTGCAATGTAATTGGAAGGGTTAACACTTGTGAACCCCAATTTCTCCTCACTTCTAACACCATCTGCCCCCGGGGGCTGAGAGCACTACCTTTAGTAGCCCTCTTCAGAGTTCTGAAGGGGTGAGGGCTTTGGTGGGTTATATCGGGATGTTGCTTACCCAGAACAGTTAATAACATTCGTGACTAAAGGCACTAACCGACTCTGTTTTTCTGATTAATGAGAAATACCTTCAGATGACACAATTGTATTTCTATTGGAGCTGCTTATGGTTTGGGCCCAACCGGGCCGTTTCTAGCTGAGGGGGTCTGGGAGAGATCGTGGTCCTACAAGGAGTCTCAGCTTTTGTATTTGGCGAATGGGTCATTTTACTTCCAACCTCAGAGAGTTATGGTGGGAACCAAACATTGCAGCGATAATTACTATCATTTACTGTACATTTTAATGCATGCCGAGCACGACTCTGGGAGTTTTACATGTGACATATTAATTCTTTTATTTAACCTCATTTTATGTTGCCATACCTGCTCCCCAATAATATATAAATAGGGCATGGAAAAAATCGTACACCTTATACCTTGTACTCTGTAAAGATGATTTTGACCTTCTCTGCTCTCTACTTACACATATTTAAGGGATTCCCTAGCCTGATATGGCATTATTTGCAAATATTCCAAATTATGAGCTCCCTGAAGGTAGGGAGAGGGCTGTAAAGAGCCTGTGGCTGGACATAAAGGGGGCTTAGGAGCTGCATGCAGAATGACTGGACCAGTGACTCCAGAGAGACTGCCCAGACACCAGAACAGACTGGCAAGAATCGGGGAATTTTTTTGGCTCCCAAATCTTCAATGTCCCTCAAATCAGCCCAATGTATACCTAAAAATCCTTTCTGAGAGTGACAGAAGCTCCGAGTTTGAGAGAGGCTTGTCTAGCCTAGCAAAACGGAGACTGAAACCAGGGTCGCCTGACCGCCGGCACGGTTAACTTCCCACCATCAACGGGTCAACTCTAGAAATGGCCAAGGCAAACCCTGGCCACCTTTCCATCCCCCTTTGAGCATGCATTCCTGGGAAAGAGAGAGAGACTGTGTGTAGAAGGCTTCTTCCTCCTTGGGACACTTTAAAACGAAGTTAAAACCAAATGAAAACTGTGTTGCTTCTAGAATGTGGGCCTGATGACTGTCATTTCATTTGCCTCTGAGTTGGAGTGAAAAATTATGTGTTGCCGAGCTCCCAACTCTCTGGGTAGCATAAGCTGTCTTCGGAGAGACACAAGATGCACTGCTCTGTGTGATATTAAACTCATCATTTTCAGCTTTGGAGGTGGAATACACAATGATTCAACAGGAGCCCTATAAAAGTCATCTTCGCAATTTTATTTTCTTCAATTGTCTGTCTTTTCCTCTGAGCTTTTGATGAGCTGCAGAGGAGAGGAGGAGGCAGAGAGATGACTTAAGAAATGTGTAAGGAAAAGAAAACTACAGTTTCTAAATCTCTGGACGCCGAAGCCGGAAGCCAGCAGCTTTGACCTTGCCAGGCTCGGTGCTGTGCAGGTGTGGGGGGTGGGAGGGGGGCGGGGTGCTGCTTGCTGGAGGCTGGCCGGCCAGCCACTTAGCAAAGGAGTAAGAATTAGAACCTGGTTGTTCTGGTAACATTCTGGAGTGGCTTCCGCTGCCCTATCCTGACATCTGGCACCTGGTACCTAATGTGATTTTACTCTAAATAACCAGCAAGTTATACTGATTGATCTACATGGTTCAAAAGTCAAAAAGATATGGGAGGATTTATAGGGAGAAACCTCTATCATCTCTTCCAATCTCTAGGCACCCAGTTTCACTCTCCAGAGGCCACTCATGTTATCAGGTTCTCCTGCTTCCTTCCAGAGATGCTTCACACACAAACAAGTAAATATCCATCCCCTATCCAACCCTGCTGTCCCCAGGACACACAAATGAGGGCACACCGAACACACTATTTGGATCTGCTTTTTTTCTCCTAACATGTCTTGGAGGTAATTTTTTCTCAGTGCAGAAATAGTTACTTCATTCTTTTTAACAGCCATATATAAACTGTATAGCCAGTCTCCTATCGACAGACATTTAAGTGATTTCCAACCTTTTCCTGTTACCAAAAATGTCTCAGTGATTGACTCTGAATATATGCTATTTCACACATATATAATTATACGTAGGATAAATTTCAAGAAGCAGAATTTCTGGGTCCCCTGGGCATTGCAGTTCTGATCAATACTGACAGACTGACCTCTCCAAAATGACCAGTTCATACTCCTAGCAAAATATTACAATGTCTCTTTGGCAATTAACTTGGAACGAAACTTTTTGATATTCGCCAAGTTGGTGGGAGGGTGAAATAGGATATCTAAGAATAGTTTTTTTTTTTTTTTTTTTTTTTTTTTTTTAAGTAGGCTCCACACCCAGTATGGAGCCCAGCACGGGGCTTGAGCTCACAGCCCTGAGATCAAGACCTGAGCTGATATTAAGTGTCAGATGCTTAACCAACTGAGCCATCCAGGCACCCCTAAGATTAGTTTTAATCTGAATTTCTCTTAGTATAATTCTCTTTTATTGCTTGGTTAAGTTTAGGCTTTTCATACGTTTAAGAACCATTTGCATTTTGTTTTCTATGAATTGTTTATTAATTTCATCTGCCCATTTTGAAAGCTGGGATATTAGTTTTTATGTTTAGTACAAAAATATTTTTGCTCTGCCTGTCATTTTTTTTCACTTTACTTCTACGAGTACTTTTTTCCATTCAGAAATTTCTAAATGCTGATTTTTTATACAGATTTATCAATCTTTCCTTTTGTGGTTTCTGAGTCAAATTCTTTCATCATTTCTTCTATTAATTTTATTGTTTCACTTTTTATATTTAAATATTCCATTTCAAACTTAATTTACACGGACCTAGGTTGTGAGGTAAGGATTGCACTTTACTGTCCCACACTATTTATGAAATTGTGCATTTTCTCCCCACGGACTTGAAAAGTCATCTTTACCATACATATTTTTGGTATGGATTTGGGTTTATTTTTGTGCTTTTTATCCTGTTCTAATCATTTATCTATTCTTGTGTCAATACCACACAGTTTTAATTATGTTAAGTTTATAATGTATCTTATTTCATTTTATAGTTTTTTTTTTTGTTTTTTTTTTTTTTTTTTTAGAAAAAACAAGGGGGGGGGGAGAGGAAAAGGGGGGGAGAATTTTTTTTTTTTTTTTTAATTTGATAGACAGAGATCACAAGTAGTCAGAGAGGCAGGCAGGAGGGAGAGGAGGAAGCAGGTTCCCTGCTAAGCAGAGAGCCCGATGCGGGGCTCGATCCCAGGACCCTGGGATCATGACCTGAGCCGAAGGCAGAGGCTCTAACCCACTGAGCCACTCAGGCGCCCCTTCATTTTATAGTTTTAAGTGTAGTTAACTTCTGTCACCATGCAACACTATTACAATCCCACTGACTATGTTCCCTATGCTGCACCCTTCCTCCTCATAGACTTATTCCTTCTATAACTGGAAGCCTGTACCTCCAACTCCCCTTCCCTCATTTTGCTCATCTCCTGCCCCTGGCAATCACCAGTTCGTTCTCTATAATTATAGGTCCGTTTCTGGTTTTTTGTTTGTTTGTTTTTTTAGATTCCACATATAAAGGGAAATCATAGGGTATTAGTCTCTGACTTATTTCACTTGGCATAATGCCCTCTGGATCTATCCACATTTATCACAAATACCGAGATCTCATTCCTTTTTGTGGCTGAGTAATATTCTACCATAAATACACATTTATACCAATCTTTATCCATTCATTTATCAATGGACACCTGGGCTGCTTCCATATGTTGGCTATTGTAAACAATGCTGCCATAAAAATAGGGGTGAATGTATCTTTTCAAATCAGAGTTTTATATAATGTATTTTAATATTTGAAGGGCTTATGATCACCTCATTATGGTTCTTTTCCCAAATATTCCTGTATTGTCTTGCATATTTTTCTGTATGATCTTTATGATTAGCTTGTTTAATTTTCTTTCTCCCCTAACCCTGTCAATAGTCTCAATAATATAATCATATTAGACTTCGTATTATCATAGGACAAATCAAGTCTTGTGACTGGAGCCTTCCAATCCAAGAATATATTTTGACTTTCCATTTATTCAAATTTTCTCTTGGGTAAAGCAGGACATTTTAAAAAAAGTTTTTGGTTTTGTTTTCATATAAATCATGACTATCCTTTTTGATGCCAAGGCAGCTTACATTTTTACTTGCTGCCGTAAATGTGATGCTTTCTTCCATTAACTCTTCTAATAGTTCTTTAAATAAAAAGGTTCTTATTCTTTTTTGTAAAGTTTATTTATTTTTTTAGAATTCTCTATACTCATAGAATTCTCTATACTCATCAAGGGCTCATGATCCCAAAATCAAGAGTTGCATGCCCCTTCAACTGAGCCAGCCAGGTACCCCTAAAGGCTCTTGTTCTTGACATATTGAATTTGTACTCCATACTTCACTAATTCTATTATTATTTGTAATAATTTATCATTTGGTTTTCTTGGATTTTCATTTGCTTATTCAACAAATAATCGCTTAGTGCCTATGATGTATCAGACAGTGTTCTAGGCATTGGGTATGCACCAGGGAGTGTGCTGGGTCCTGGGGATAGAGCAGTGAATACAACAGAAAGTTCCTGAGCTCCAAAAGTTTACAGTCTATGAGGAGAGAAAGGGAATAAACAAATCAATCAATAAACACAAGATGTCAGGAGGCATTAGTGCCATGGAGGCAAATAAAGAAGTGGAATAGAAAGTAACAGAGGTTTCTGGAAAATTGGCAACACGAAGAGAGGAGGAGAGTTAG